CGCACCGAGCCCCGGCTCCCGGCCGTGCCCCGAGACCCGCAGGAGCCTTCGTCCCCCACCCCTTCGGACCCCGGCCCCAAAGCCGGTCACTACCCCAGCCCGGCACAGCAGGGAAGGATGGTCTGCCTCGCCCTTGGCCGATTTTCACTTTTATTATTGTAAATTCACTGTTCTCTCTCTATATATATTTTTTAAAAACATATATTAGATATAAAAGTCAGAAATGCTTTTCTTTGAACTACATATACTGGTGGATTTATAGGCCGATTTTGAAAAGGTGGGCAAATCGGGAAGCCCAACCTGATCAATGCGCACAGCAGCAGCAAATGCCCCTCTCCAGGGACAAGGGAAAAATTTTTTTTATATATATATATATGTGTATATATATATATGTAGATCTATATAGACACACACACACACACAGACACACACGCATTCAACCCCCTCTACACCCCACCCCTCCACCTCAGCCCCCCGCCGGGAGGCCCAGGCTGGGGCTCAGCCCGAGGAGGCTGGGGCCGAGCGGGACAGGCTCCCAGCAGGCAGGCACTGGACGGGCTGGGCGCTGGGGAAGGCACGGGAGGACGGATCTGGGAGTCCCAGCAGACCGGGGTGTGGGCTTCCTCTGCTCCTACAGCAGTGCTTCCCCTTTCCGTGCCCGCACCCCCTGGGAGAGCGGGGCTGGGGCGTCCAGGCTCCCCGGCGGGGAAGCTTAGGTGGCAGCGCTATGGCGGGGAAATCGGCCGCTCTGCAGGCACTGTGCTTGGACGTCCCCGGTGTAGTAAATGCGGAGACCTATTTCCTAACTTAGCTGACCACCAGGGAGGCACAGGAATGCTGTGGCCCAAGAGGTGAAACCTGCTTCAGCAATTCTCCTATAAGCTGACAAAAAATGTGGGAAAGTCATCATGGAAGGCCCTGAGCAGTGAGAGCCCTGGCTGAGAGGGCCAGCGCGGTCCAGCCGGGGCTGCTGGTGCCATCCTGCAGCAGCACAAGGCTCTACCCCACCCGGGGAAGGCAGGCAGGGAGTGCAGACAGACTGGCACTGCCGTCACCTCCCCAGGAGGGGAAAAGGCACTCCAGGTTTTTGGGTCCCCTGACACTGAGGGCGGCTGGCTGGAAGGCTTGCCCCGCTGAACCTGGCCCCCATGGTGGCCATAGACCAGGGAGGAACGGCGACCCCCCCTTCCCCAGCACACCAGGCCTGCATGGTGAGGGGAGGGCGAGCCCCCCGTTCCCCCACCTCCCTTACAGAAGGGCGCCTCCATACGATTGCCTCCAAATCAGACGGGGCAACCCCAGAGGCTCAGGGGCAGATCCCAGCTCTGCCGATAGCAGCACCGGGCTGGCATCCCTGCACCCCAGCAGTGACCCCAAACCCTGCGGGCAGGGAGGGGGCAGCTCCTGCAGGGGACACTGGCTGCCGGAGGAGCTCCAGCCGCAGCTCCCACCAGGAGGGGAGGGCACCGCACGCCCACGCGTGCACACACACGCACACACGCATCCCGAGGCAGCCAGGGTCTCGGAGACATTCAAACCCAGGGGAGTCACTGGTAGAGCCCAATTTGGGGGTCCCCACCATGAGCCTGCCTCCCCTGCGGGTCAGGCCATAGCCAGGCCCTCCGCATGGCTGTGGATGTGGGCTGTGCTGGACACGCCACTCTCGCCTTTGTAACTTGGGGGCCCGTTTTTTTTTCAGGAAGGTGTCTGTGGAGATGGCCCCAAACTCAAAGGTGAAGGTGCCGTAGAAGACCAGGACATCGATGATGAACATCCACTCACACAGGGCGGCCACGTGCTGCAGCACGAAGCTCTCCTGGATGAAGAACACACCGCCTGAGGGCATCTCCGTCAAGGAAAGCACCGCTGGACCCCAACCACCCCATGGAGGACAACATCCCACCACCACCGCACACTGGGGCGGCCGTGAGCAGCCCCCCTCTGTGGGAAACGCACCAGCACCCCTAAAACCAAGAAACCCCACTGCTTCCTCCAGCAGCGGGAGGGCCCCGGCACGGGTGAGGCAGTGGCACACATGCCCAAACCAGCCTTGGTAAACCACGGGACCGACGCTAGGCGGGGATTTTCTGAAGAGGCCGGGGCAGGGGGAAGTCAGGCTGCAGCCCTCAGGGCAAGCTGGGTGCCCAACTGCCTCACCCTCCCCACCTCGCCTCTTCTTCAAATCAGGCTGACACTCCCCTTCCCCCCCGTGGGATGCAGTCAAAGTCAACAAAACTCATCAGCCCTCCATCCCCTGGGTATGGGGGCTTGGGACGATGCGTCCCAACCCCGCAGCACCCGCCCCGTCCCTCTGCGCTGCTGGCTGGCTCACCCGAGGGGGGGCTGCTCCCTCTCCTCCAGGTCCTACCGCTGCCGGAGCTTCTTGATGCTTCTCTCATCCCCGCTGGGGATCTCTAGGGAAACACTGCCAGAGCCACCAGGGGTGAGGGGAGAAGGCAGGTACATCCCCCAGCCCTCCAGGTGAAGCCTCCGGCAGTACCCTGCCTTCTGCCAGCGAGACCAAGATCTGGGAGACCCAGAGAGGCAGGGACTTGCACAGGGTGGAGCCCTCTGCTCACCCCCCATCCCACCAGGAGAGATCCCAGCCCTTTCCCCACACCATCCCCATCACAGCTCGCTGCTTTCCCACTTCCAGTCCCCAGTGCTTACAGAGCAGCATGGCTGGGGCAGATGGGCACCAGTCTTTTGTCCCCTGTCCTCACATGCCCTGCCTGTCCCTCCCAGCCGGTGCCGCGGCACTCCTGCCCTTCCCAGCTCCCTGCCTGCTTCCCGGCCCGCCTGCCTGCCGCAGTGACCGAGTGGGACCCTCAGGCACGTCCCAGCCCCGCCAGCCACCCCCAGGCTCCTCCTGCGCTGCTTGCCCCAGCCAGATCCCAGGGACCTGTGGACACCACACGCTTCTTCCCCTTCCTGCCCAATAACCACCACCTTGTTTCCCAATTTATTCCTCAGTCCCAAATAAGCCCCTGGCTCCCCAGCCACATACTCGGGACCATTCTTCCAGCCCTGCTCCGCCTGCTGCT